TATGAACAAAACGTTTACAACTACTGACCAATAGGGAAGAAGTTATCATCATTAGAAAAGGAATGATTTCACTCCATGCTGTTCCGTTTGGAAAAATGACTTAAGAACCACGAATAATGTACCCGTGTAACAATAATCCTGTCAACTTGCTACCAAGGACTGTTTAACACTACTTAGCCAAGTTAACATCCTACCCACTCTCACCCTGATCAATCCGTATACCTAAAGTCAAATAACTCTAACTGATCGATAAAGGAAACTGTGCCTTCTTAGCTTCGCTTTCTTTAGCTGCATCGAATGGCGCACAATTAAAAGACAAGCACAGTGTGCGTGTATGTGTAGAAGTGGGAGGGTCATGTAATTAGCTTCAGTCTAATTAGATCACCACTGGGATTGCGATTAAGATCGGATTATGTTCGCCTTAGCCATGGATTTCTCTACAAACGTGATTCGATCGGTTCGAGCCTTCACTTCCTCACCTAACACGACCTATCTCGGTCGAGCACAAAGGCGAAATTAAAGTCCGTTGATCCAATTGAATGCATTTGATAACAGGCGGTCCACGGTATGACATGGGTTAAGACTGATAGATGAACTCATAACCACTAAGAGAAATTTCAATGTTTTTTTCATTCTTTCCTTAGAGAACATTCAATGCACGAAAACAACTACCTGCAGAAAGAATAACGTTTGTTCTGAATGTGACGGCCGTGGTGAACAGAAGTTACCAAAAAAAAGAAACATGTAAAAAGAAGAGCTGAAACAGGGAATTACAAACTGTATTCATAGCTACAGTTTATGCACAATATCCGATAAATATGGACAACAAATCATAGAATATCAGCCATCCGACAGGACTTCTCTTGCTAGCTAAAAGACAACTATTGTCTTAGCACTATATATTAAAAGTGTAAATATGCGATTGATTTTAGAAACCCTTTCTACATAATCGTTTTCTATGAACCATTATAGTTGGTCAGAAGTACACCAATCAGAAAAGTGACGTTACCCTTGTAGGTTATCTTCGTCCAGAGTTCATTAATGGTTATTTGTAGATAATTAGCTTTATGATAAATGTAAAATGCCATAGGCACTGCTGGCGCAGGACCTCGATAACAGGCAGCTCCGTTGTCATTTTGCCCCAAACTAGGCTTCTCGTAGATTGGTCCCAAATGGTTTGGTAGTGTAAATCTTTGAGCCCAGCTTGCTGACTGTTACGAGTGGTCGATAGGTCCTCCTGTTGTTTACATGAAACAGTGGTGTGTTAAAAATAACTCTAGTTCCAAATAAAGTTTCAGTAACTTCTCGGCAAAATTAAGCGTTTTCTATTGGTTTATTTAGGCTTTCTGATTAGTTCTTTCGGCATTCAAGGTTTACGCTAGGCTTAAAATGGAGTGAAATGAAATAAGATATGCAAAAATCAAATCTGAAAAACGAAACAAAACGAATTGCCATCCCCATCAAATACAACAAACCCATTAGACCAAATTACTTCCTGCACACTTCCTAGCCACAGTCTCCTTTACTAATATGCTACGAGTGGGGTGACACTTTGAGCTACAGAAATTCAAATTGATAGTCTCGATTTTTTTTGCACGCCATGATCCCACTGTCACGGTCATCGATTGAAAGCGTTTGCGCGGTTTACACAATTGATGGCACGAAATTTAACAGATGGGATTTGACAATGTTGTGNTGTTGTGGTTTATAGCCATCCGGTATTCACTGCCCGAGTGTGAAATGCACCCGGGAATACTTGAACCACTTCGAAGAGCACATCCCTGCTCAGTGGTAAAGGATTCGTTCAGCTTCATCCGTGCGCAAAACTACAATTGCAGACAATTCCGAATTCCATTGTTTTTTTTCGTAGTTGACGTAGTTCATCAACTCTCCCGCTTAATGATAGTGATGAATCTACAATATCCCCTTCAGGTCTGGATGCATGACACTGCGACCGGATTTCCTCGCCGAAAGTTTTGATTTCACTTTCCCTTTTTGTAGTAGATTGGCTGTTCAGTTTCAGGATAATTCTCGTTACTTGAATAACCTAACTGGCATACTGCCTCGCACCGTTTCCCTAATGATGACAGCTAATTTGTTAGTGATCACAGGAATACCGTGGTTTAGGATTCATTATCTCAACTCACAATGATAGATTTTCATAGGCTAATTGACCTCTGCGCTTTCGAAATAAACCAGTAGCTTTCGATCTCCACCAAGGACAATATTACCAGTTCCATAAACATGATCAGATTTCACTTTACCACACTGTTTCCTTTAAATCTTCTCAATCGTATCCTTATTTTAATCGCACATTTAAAGTCACTAACTTTCCAAATATGGACTACTCAAGGACACTGTATTGTGGTACTGAAAAGAATGCAAACAAATTCCCTGTCTTGTGCCAAACGAGCCAAAATTTACGCTTTTATTTAGCGTTTTCTAGGAGGATGAAAATAAATTATGATCAAAGATGTATTATTCTGACAGTACCAAAGCCCTTAGCATAGTCAGGATTTCTACCTGAATTAAATTCTCTAAAGCGTTACCTCTAAGGGATGGATGGGTTTAAGTTAAGATGTACGAGAAAGCAACATAGTATGCCAGTCTATATAGACTGAATTTAAATCTCCTCGCCTCATTCTTACTATCTTACAAGTTTTGCTCAATCAGCTGTGTTCCATTATTCCACTCGTTTTTAAGAATTCTCACTTGACCACAAAAACAATCTTGTTCACAGAATCTGATTTTGGCGATAGTCGTCAATTTGACTTACTTGTGTATAAATATATGTATATGTATCAATCGAAACGCAAGGGCTTTTTGAGAAATTTACGTGGTTTTTCTTTTTATCGATCTTCAAAAGCATTTTGATGTGTATATTTGTCTGAAGTGGACAACAACGGATGCTTACCTCGGCGTTATACAGGCGAAAAACAGACATTTGTCACTCAAATGGCATGTGCTGTTTGTGCCGTCATTTGTGCGGGAAAGACACTAGCCACTGTGTATGATTGACCGCCTTTTTCAATTTACATATGCTAAGCAGCGGACGACTATGTTTTCTACAACCTATATGAAAAGGATCAACTTCCAGTAATGCTTATTGATGATGGTTTCCGCATACTGAAAAAAGGTGATAGTCTTTAACTGATGTCTCAGTCCATATGCATTGTTTTCCGAAAAATGGGTTTTCGATCGAAGCGATCCCAGGCATTCTACTATCTGCCAATTCATGAAAAACCTCTGATAACATACAGTGAAATGGCATTTGATTAAAAGTACAATCGCCCCTTTCGAAAGTATATAAATGAAGAATACTCTAATATCAGCTATTTTTGTTATAGTCTCAGTAGCGGTAGTATTTTTATTCTTGCTGCGCCAATGATATTGATGATGGTGGTGGTGATGATGATGATGCTGATGATGACTGCGATGATGATGGTCTCCAAAACGTTTGTATTGAATTGTCAGCTGGAGAAAAGCTATGCTATTTGTTGTAGGCTGATGATATCCTTTGCCTTTTCGAATGTGTGAAGGATACACAAAGCGCAATTAACACTTTGCGAGTTCTGTTGCTTCGTTCAGCATCAGTTTTGCACCTTCAAAATGCAAGCTTGATATCGCTGAGTAGCGTTCTGAAACTAGACGATCAGGAATTAGCTGAAGCTGACTGCTTCCCATACCTGGGTAGCTGCGCGACCAAAGAAAACAGCACATCAAGTGAGACAACCACATGCATTTTCAAGGCTTGAGCAGCCTACACAAAACTAAAACATCGCTGATGACGAACTGACGTTTCACTAAAGTTGAAAAGTCGTGCATGCTGCGCCACTGTACGATTAGTTATGCTTAACGATTGTGAGACATTGAATTTGCGGGCAGACGACATACATTGCCCATTGGTTTTCGACAATCGATGCTTACTTAGCCTGGCCCAGGCGGGTTAATAACCCAGTAGTGATCTGGCTGTCACTTCCATGTACGCATCATGAGTTTGACAACGATCAATGAATTTCGCTTCACTGTATTGCGCTGCTGCTGCTGCTGCTGATGTTCAGGATAGTTATGATCATACTGAATGAGATCACTTCCTCATGGTAGTAAACGGAGGATTCATAAGGGTAACAAAAATCAATGCGTGAACACTTGAACACCATATGTTCTCCTAAAAAATAAAATAAGTATTTATGAATGTCCACAACCATATCTGCGATCGTTGCTCATCATCAATAGTGTGCGTTTGATAATCATCTGTCAAGTCATTCACAGACTTGAACATTCCCCGGGGAGTGTAAAAGCGATAACTGGAAGTTGAATGTTTGTGATGGGAACAGATATGGCAAACGTTGATAAACTCAACTGAACTGACCTCTTTTGATTTATAACGATAGTTTGTAAAGAAATTTATGTTCCTCGAGGACAGTAAGTTTCAACCGTCAATTGTATAATTATTACCTACAGTCTCATAAAATTTCTCAACAATAAAGGAATGCTTTATATCTATGGCCCATTGACTGGCCGTTTTAGCCTTTCTGAAAGTTGTATCATTATGTGTACGATAAAAGGAAGTAGAGATGTAAAAAATAGTCCCGCCTATAGCATTGTACCGAGAAACAGTAGCTTGGTGTTTCACGGGTTTGTAGGTATGTATTCATATTGAGTCCAAAATACCTTTCCTGCATTGTTGGAAAATATGACTATTTGAATCACGAAGATGTAGGTTGCAAATTACTTGACACCAGACAAGCACGATATCTGACACTATATTACAACCGATATTACATTCGATTGGTTTTGGCTAGTCGCTAGTTTTATACTTATACTCTATCCAACTTATTCCATGAAGCTAACGTTCCAAAGGAACTATCAAAGCTTTCGGTACCGATAAAAGCCGCCAAACTTTTACAATTAAATGAACGCGCAGATAAATGTTGCGCTTGGAAATGTGTAATGTTTATTCATTTGGAATTCTTTGTTTACAAAATTAGTTAGTTTTACTACACAATACTATCTAAACTGGAATCGATTGCACATTTTTCCATTGAATGGTAATCATCCAAATCCGGATTGACAAAATAACGTGCAGATTGAAAATTACTGGAGGACGGCCCAGGGAGTTTGCGGGATGTGAACCGTGATACAGGGATGTCTGGAGCACGGGGCTTGTGAATTCGACGTTTGGGCATGGTACAATAGGGTGGGATGGCATTACCCATGTACAAATGAGTTGGTTTCCATGATTTAGCATCCAGAACAGTGAGTCGTGGTTGCTCAGGTGACGCCATGGATTTTGGAGGTCCACAGTTATCACGGGAATACCTCTGAAAGGCACCGTTTGAACAGTCCATATGAAAATCTGTTTCTCCGAGGAATCCAACTTTACCAGTTGACTGTACATTTGCCAATCGCATACGGAATAGATCCCACAAGGCAGCAATCAGTTCGCCGGAGATCAATTCACCGGCGTTAGTGGAACTAAGCCACAAAATGAACACTCCATTCAAATCAAGATATTGATCAATGAACAACTTTAATGCTTGTCGATCCAGTTCATCACAGCCATTGGGAAGTTTCCATGGGATGAGAAATTTGCGCACAAAATGATGTCGGCTCTGTGGAATGCTTAGACGCGATAGCCATTTAAGTAGGCTGTATGTGGTCATAACTGCTACAAATATCATCCAGAACCACAGGAATATGTATACTTTTTCCAGAAAAAGATTCAGTGGCAAAACACATTGCAATGTATACCTGAAATGAAGAAAAATGAAAAAAAGATATTCCTATGGTGAAATTTGTTTGAACAGAGAGAGAGAGACAGAAAGAGTGAAGAATATTATATCTACACAGTTAAAATCACGTGTGCTAGCAGTCTGCAGTATGTCACATCTAAAATAAAACAGCAACATGATGGAGATTGAGCTATTGCCACGAATGTTTTCTATGGAGAAAGTTTGATACATCTTTCTGCTTACGATTGCAAAACATAATCGTTCGCACTTTCTTCCCAGGGTGATAAAAATCTTAGAACTTGTATCTTGTCATTGTGTTAGTTATCCTAATCTTTGACTNNNCTTCTTCTATTTATGCCTCTGAGCTTTAAGACAGTCGGATAATCTCGCCCTGTTTAACGTTAGTCTCATTGATACCCCATTCATCCATCAGTAAGAAAGAAGTCAAATGTTACGAGATGTTAACATTTCACAAGCAAATAAGGTAACGCATGTAAGTACAGAAAATATCGTCCGATATCACCACGGATGGCTGGACACATTAAAAAGGGGTTGCAGAACTCAGTGGCGCAGTCGACAATCGGTGGTCTGGAAATTACGAACCCAGTGGTCATCTTTTCCCAAATTTCTCATGACAACAATAAAACACAGTTGGACCACTTTCATCTCTCAATTCGGTCTATCTCAAGGCATCATTTGGTCCCTGGTTATTTAACTTCTCATTTTCCGATACCTCAATCAGTTTACATGTATGCTGCTTACGACTACAGCAATCAAGTGCACTTCGATGCTATTTTGTGACGATCATCAGGGTACAACACGCCCTCCCAAAGTTTTATATCTGCAATTTTCATTTTTTCTGGTAAGATACACCAAAATGTATGGTGAAAGCTCTAATACATATGTAAAACACTGTCGGATGATCTTTCTATCAGTTATTGGATTGCATTACATGAAAAAATGAAAACACCACCACTTGAAAACAAGAAGCGGTCAATAGCATTACCTCTTTGTTTTACTTTGCCGACCCTGTGTAAAGCTGACGGTATGATTGGTTGCCCTGGTTACATGATCAAAAACTTACTATTTTTGGACTATTTTAAAGGCTTGACGACAAAAGAAACCCATTCTTCAAGGCACATGGTATTAATTGAGCAAACGCGATTTATTGTTTATCGGAATAAAAGAACCAATAAAATTGGAACCTGATTCTGGAACTCTAAAATACTTTTGATTTGGACTTCCCGTTTACAGACTGCATTTCAGGACTCAAACTTCAATTCATCCAGACAACTACGCATTCTGTAAGGAAGGGTCTTTTGATTGAAATAAATAGCTATCAAAACATCTTCCTTTATTTCTGTTAGACCGAATGAATTAATCGAAAACCGTGCAAAAATAAATCTGGACAGACTGGATCAGCGAATTTCGTCACCCCCAGTTGGAGTTAGTTGGTACAAGGAAAACATTCGGGCCGTTAACACGTCTGTCAAAAATGCAAATAGTTACCGGCATGGTAGATTCGCATTGGCGATGAGCTACAGCAAGGGAGAAACTCAATTTTAGTGAATTCTTGTGTGTCAGATGACTCGCCAAGCTGAGTATATTCTCAATCACACATTTGTACGCGAGTAACCATCAAGTGAATTTAAACTCTGGAAGGGATGTATTGATATAAAGAAAAACCTAAGAGCATCCATGTAGCCGTGAAAATAATAACGAAACATATCGAGTCGCGTATTATCACATATGATGGTTTCACTTTAATGTAAACTCACACTCTAAATCTCCGATCGCCATCCAAATTTATATACGCAAAGTACTATTCATGAGTGTCTTAAAGCATTTGGAAAGTGACTCGGTCATATTAGATTTCCTTATGGGTTATTGTAACAGAATGACAGGGGCAGGATAGAATATCTATCATTATTTCATGTCATTTTAAGAAGAAGGAAACTACTCACTTGTAATTTTTCCCGGTCTTCTTCGCCTCAAAGTCGCAATACGTGACACGAGGAAAGTTCCCTGTTTGTGTCCACATACGACCGTGAATCAAATCACGGAGGACATAGAAGCCGAAAAAATGCGAATCCGTATCCAGGAAAAGTTTCATAAAGTATAATTGTGCGATGATATTCAATAAGTATAAAAGTTTAATAGTAACATACAAATAGAATAAAAAACTGTTACTTCGTTGCACACATTTAGTTTTCTGCGTGCCACGCAAACAGTGACATATGCAGCCGGGAATTAGACAGATCAGAGTGAGGAGAAGACGGCCGCTAAACCACAGTGCGTTACCCAGAAATCGACAAATATTGATTCCTCGGGAGGGTGGTGTTCTTCCAATCTGAACACGAATTGTTTTGCCCTCAGTTGGATCTTGTGCTACAGGAATCTTGCTTGTTTTGATAGACGTTTCGCACGGCATACAGCCCCAAGTACACCCAAAACGTTTTCGTGAGGTCGATCTCGGATGTCTCCCTGATTTGCCGGTGATCAAGGGTTGAAATGTTTCTGCAACAAAAACCAAGGAATAGTTTAGTTCTCAATTTTTTCTTTAGGGTGATCAGACTGCTAATAGTTTTATCGGGATAACCGAAACTGTTTTAGATCATTTTATTCCTGGTCCTTTCTGGAAACAAGGTTTAGTCGAAACAGTGCAATACCAACTAGAGTTGAATTGAGTCGTTTATCTTTTGATCGACACTGGCATTTCAACTGTGTTGACCAAACGCATATGGTTATATATTATGTTATTCTTCACGAGATAAGTGTTACTCGTCCCCAGAAAGATTTGGAAGTACTGTAAATCCATTTCCCGATCGTCAGAAACGGTTTGATTGCTCTTTCTTGCAGCAGGGTTGAGTTTCTGTATTCCGCCTGCCCATTTCACTGAGGGAGTAGACGGATAAATTGCAAACCTGAAATTACGATATAAAAAGGAAGAAAGTAAGTGAACAGGATTTCTGAAGAAACGGGGTCACTGTTTTGGACAGTTATATCAATCAAGGTCTGTAGCCATTGACTGGACTAAGCGGAGGTCCACCACCGGGAGGCCTAAAGCAAACTATATATCCAACTCCAGTGCCCAGGTTCATATGAGGTCTTATTTTCAGCACCATTGACATTCTTGCATTCAATGCTTGTACCTGTAGACGTTGCACATTGAAAGTGTTTGCTGCAGTCAACGTGATCTATGATTATCAATTACTTGTTTCAGTTCGCAAACACGATTATTTAATAATCGCAGCCTTGCCTTGGTACATCTTTCCAAATTAAATGGGATTGTGAATTCATTCAAAAGACACAGATACAGTAGTGGTCCTTCTGTTTCAGAAATGTCTTATCCTTAAACGTTTGGCAAGCTTTCTGCAATGTTTTCGGGAACATTTGTAGTTAACCGATTAACGTATCACTGCTGAAAATACATGCAGTTTTACTGCTAAACCATACGTTTGAGAGAATATAAGCTTTAACCCTTCTAATCAAACATTAATGAAAAAAATTGCTCAGTCGAATGCTTTGTCATGATATCATCTTGAGCCCAAACTACGATGATGTATGTGTATGATGTCGGACAGCCGTACTCTCTTACAACTAGTCAGTTCAATTTCGCATTTTAATATTTGTTAAGAAAATATTTAGTTATTTTGACCGTTATTCAATCCAGATTGGACAACTAAAATTAAGTAGAGGAATGTATGTATCTAACGAACTGTTAATACTGAGATGGCGGTGAACGAAGTACCATCGGATTTGTGTTTTTAAAAATTCTTCCTTATTATATTCTAGGTGTGGGGGTAGGGGTGAGATCGTCTGTCACCCTGCTGTTTCTATAGGCCACCTTCAGACTGTCGCGTCCTTGTTTCTGTTACTCCATTGTTATCTCGTTTAGGTCATCTGACATTGCTCCTGTCAGGGATATCTCTGTGAACCATCCCTGACTTGTTTTCCTTCGTTGCGTCTATGGACTGAAAAACGAAACACGCATCCGGGCGCAAATGTTATTATTTTAGCTGCTCAAATAACCTCCTCAATTCAATAGATGTATTTACGCGGCTTATCGTGATGCATTTATTCATCTAAGTATGTGTAATCTGAACGCGTTTTACATTTTTCATACTCAGTGAACCTCACATGATTTTGCAGTCGGTAAATATTCAATATATTCTCCTCTGGCAAAGAAATGTACTATTAGTCTGAGGTATTTATTAGGCAAAAGAATTTATAAGCTGTTTTTCTCTTGTTTAATGTTATTTCCAAGAACACGCAAAATTGATGAATAAATTTTCTTGAAAATATACCATTTCATTTAGAAAAAACAAAAGTAGTATTCATATACATTGAATTATTTGCAATATTTCATACTTCACTATTACAATTACAATTAAAACTGATCTTTGAATACCTATATGCTTGACAAAAGCGGATGTTTCAGTGGTTTCTTAAAGTGATTATACTCAGTCCTCGACAGTTTCCCGTATTGCAGTTTCGGAATTTCCACTGTGTGATAACGGTGCTAATGCACGATTAATTACGGCTTCATGCTCCCCTCCACAATTGGGGGATCAGAGTACCAGGGGTCCCTCCCCAAAAATCCAATGTTAGCCGACCGTGACAGGGTCGGCAGTGAATCTACTTCTCACCCAAAGGGACTTTTACACCAAACACATTTGACCTGTTGCTACACTAATGCCAAGGGTCTCCGCAGTTAGTTCTCCGAAATGGTGTTGCGTTTCCAATCCAGTCAGTGGGATGTCATTGCTGTCACAGAAACGTGGTTGACGGATGACATTCTCGACTCTGAGTTGGGCCTACCGGGCATGTCTCTTCTCAGACGCGATAGTTCAACACGTGGGGGTAATTTTCTACTTTACCATCGAAGCAATCGCCATTGCGATGCAGTTGATCCTCCTGTTTCAGCCCCTGACACAATTTGGTGTAAACTGAAACTGTCGAAGCACGGCGATCGTCTTGTTGGAATGGTCCATCGTTCGCCCTCATCCACGGAGTCAGCAAACTATGCACTTTTGCGAGCCATGTCACGTCCTTTCTGTAAAATTTAGTCATATTCTAATAGTAGGTGATTTCAACTACCCGCATCTCAATCAAACTTTGACCTCCCATCTATCGTTCCAAAGTCAGTTTAAACAGTTAATAGACTCGCATCCGTTGTACAACCAGGTGAAGGAGCCCACAAGGTTTGGCGACCTGGAGACATCGCCGATGCTGGGTCTGGTACTAACCAACGAAGAGCTTATGGTCGAATCCATCGATGTCTCGCCCCCCTTAGGACGCAGTGACCATGCAGCATTGTTGTTCAAATATGTCTGCTACGCTTTGATAGAAAGAAGTCCGCAAAACAATACACGTTTCGCCACGGACTACACTAGATTGCAGAATTTGGCTCACTGCACTCAGTGGATCTTTCCCGGGGACGTAGGTGACCACTAGATCACCTGGCATGCATTTACACACAGACTTACAAACCTGATCACCTCAGCTATTAAGGTTGTTAGAAAATCAGGGGTCCAAAACTCGCCGATTCGCAGCCTCAATAAGAAATGGATGTCTCTGCGCAATCGATCTTGGCGAGAATACAATCGATTTCCAACTGACAGAACACGGAGTATATTTCGACAACTGCGGAATCATTGTATCCAGTTGGTGCTGGAGGATAAGCTGAGGTACCAAGAGGTGCTCTCACGGAAGTTCATCCCCAACCCATCACTACTGTGCAAACATGTCAATATGTCGAGGAAAGTAAAGTATGGGATACCCGCACTCAGCTATCTTGGTGAGGTGGTCAGCAACACCCTGGAAGCAGCTGAGATGCTGAAAAACCAATATGCCCAAGTCTAACACCCAACAACGCGAGACTGCGGCTGCGTTATCGGATACTCTTTCTTCC